TATTCTCTCAATCCTTCAAGATACAGGTCCAGTCTCACCTCCTCTTGTGGCCTTCCCCAAACCAAAAAAAGCTCTCTCTTCCTTCTACTATACCTCACATTTGCACTCTCACCATGTCTTTAATTCTCAACAAGATTTCAACTCAGCTGTAAATGTAGTCAACCTCTTTACCCTGCATACAGGAGGGACACCCAACATTCTCAAATCCTCAAAAAGTTAAAAAAGAAAAAAAAAAAAAAGCCAAGTCCAGACTTTTTCCCCGACTTTTGACCGCTGACCACTGTCTAGTGACACTGGCCACAATGGCCTGTTTTTCAAACCTTTGCACTTGCTGTTCCCTATATCTGCAGCACTCTTCTGCCAGGCTCCTTCTCAATGTTCTTCGATATCATATCATATCATATATATATATACATATATATATATATATATATACATATATATATACATATATATATATACACACACACATACACACACACACATACATATGTATGTATGTATATACATACACATAAATGTGTGTTTATAAATGTTAGCTTCGTGAGAACAAGGTTCTTGTCTCTCACACTGTCTCTCCACCACCTCCTGGCACGTGATGGCTGCTCAGTGACAATGTGTTGACAGAATAATTATCTAAAAGTGAATGAAGGAATAATGAACGAAGTCAACCATTTTATAACCTCCAGGCCCCAACCCATAGTACCGATTCTCTGAAACAATTTCCAGAGGATCCGGAGGAGGTTACTTGAGTTCACTGAACGAGGCGGAGCTTGGCAGAGGATCTCGCTGCCATCCAAGCCCTCAGCCTCCCAAGGGTTCCCCTCGGACCCCCTCGCCTTCCCTCACCTCCCACGCAGGCCAGCGCTGCCTTGAAGGCGCAGCTTTCCATCGCCCTCTCGATCATCTTCTGCTCCTCACTCTTGGCAGGACTCGGGATCCCACCCAGGCTTCCAGGCTCCAGGAGCCGGGGCTGACGCTTGTCACCCACCAGGTACTGCAGAAGAAGGCTGTACTGCAGCGGGGCTTCGGCGGAACCCGCCGCCTCAGGCGCGGAGCCCCCGGCTCTGGGGGCCGTTGCCGCCATGAGTGTATTGGCCCAGGAAACCCTGGCGCCTTTCTTCCCACAGCAGATTCCACAGGCTTCACCTTAGGGCCTTGCGCGCCTAACCACTGTGCAGCAACGGCAGATTCGAGCAGGTCCGAGGAAGCTACGCAAGCAAAGTCTGTTCTTGCGCACCCGGCGAAGAACTATGATATTCTCCAAAAGCCTGTCGTCAATACTGAATCAGACTTGTGCAGCGTTCCCAGTAGCACTTACAAACGAGTGAGATTCACCGGAACGCCCTCATCTTCGGGGATGCAGCGCGGTGCCTACAGGGATTTGCAGTTCTAACACGTACACCCAAGGCATTTCCCAGGAAGCCTTGCGCGGGCACTCGCCCTTCGGTCTTCTCCGGAACTCCTGACAGACTGGAGCCGAGCCGAGCGGTAGCGCGCCCGCGAAGCTGCAGCACGCCGGGACGCCGGTAGGGGGTGCACGCGCCTCACCACTGTGAAAGCATGGTATAATGTATGGAGTATACATTTTGTTCAGTGAGTAAACCTTTGAGGAGAGGGGGTGCCAAAAAATCAATGAACAAATGAAGTGAAGCTAACCAAGCGTAAGCAAAATCAGGGACGGTGATAGGAACTGGAGGTGACTGGCCGGATAGAGAGCGCAAGGGTAGCTAAAGCTGCTACTCATTCCAGCCAGTTGTTGTAAATGGAATTAGTGATGTAGGAGAAGAGTACCATGAAAAGCAAAATTTATGTTATGTTGAACCAATTAAAGTGTTTACCAGCTTGCATACTCAGAATCTGAAGGTAAACTGAGATAGTACTATATATGAACCCTGAAAAACTGGCTTTTATTGTACTGAATAGATCCCAAGCTACTGTATTGATTCAGACTAGCAATATTTGGGTGTATCGCCTACAGGAAACATAAATGGAAATAGAAAGTGGTGAGGGCAGCTAGTCAACATAGGCCGAGATCGGTCTTTGGTATCCAGAGTTCTCTGCTGACCAACAGAGCATGATTCACCCTGCTTCCACTCCCACTAGACCACTGAAGGAGCCAATCCTAAATTCCCCCAGCGACTTCCCACTTGTTGAATCTAATTTAGAATTTTTACTAGACTTCTCAGCTGCATTTGACACCGCGGACTCCTCCTCCCTTCTTTGAAGCTTCTTCACAGTTTCAGTGGAGCCCCTTTCTCCTGGTTTTTGCTACAGCCTCTCCAGTTGCTCATTCTTCTCTGCAGGCACCTCTGCCTGACTTCTTCCTGTTGGTCCTCTCAGGGCTTCAGTCTTTATTCTCTTTCATGCAGCTCGTCCACACTTGTGGCTTATACTACCACCCAAATGTATTAATGACCCCCATGTCTTTATCTCCAGCTTAGACTTTTCTCATAAGCACAAGAACCAGGCATTTTCCATAGGCACCTCTAACTCAACACCCTGACAAACACCCTTCTCTTCTAGATTAATTAGGGGCCCAGGGATCTGATCCATGCTGAGGTCTTATGGGCCAAAGGTGGATCTGAGAGAAGTTGGGACAGGCCCCCAGGCACATCCCTTGGCCTTGAAAAGCAAAGAATGATCTAAAGATTAATCCATGGGACTAGTTAGAGAACAACAATCGATCCAGAAATTAAGGGTCTATAGCAGAGTTCAGATGAGATCCAAGAAAGTATGTGCAGAAATTCCATGTGGCCATGGTACATGAGGGAGGGAGCCTTTTATGGAACATCCTTGGCCCAGGTCACAGATGGAGAGAGAACAGTTACAGATACAGACTCTGATCTGGTATCTCTCTCCCCCAACCCATCACCTTCAATAGGTGGAATGGGTTTCACCTGATGGAAAATTTGAACCTCTGCAAGCATATTCCAGAAGTGATAAGTGGTTTCCTATGTCTGTTTCCCTGGGCTGAACCTTTTCCAGTAGTCCAGGGACTTTATCTGTTCATGGCATCATTGGGAGTCCAACAGCTCTCATGTTACAGTTTAGTTCTCTAATCTAGTTTTTCTGTTCTGGCACAAGGATATAGGGTTGGGGCAGCATCTCAGTGCGTCAGAGAGAACAGGGGACTTTTAAAGATGATTTAGATTCACAGGGAGGGTTGTAGGAAGAGTTGGAACACTCTGAGTTGGTGACTCATCACTTGAAGGACTCTGGATAGTGGCACAGACGGGTAGGTGTTGAACTGGAGGGCCTGATCATATCTCGCCCAGGTGTCTAAGACCCCAGCTGGCCTGTAGTTCACCTAGTATGTCACTGGAACCCAGGAGTAAAAGCAATAGCATGAGTGGGATGAAATGAGGAGGTCCAAGTTGAGAAGTGCATTGTAACCCATGTGGGTTTGAGTTGTATGTGAATTTGGTAACAGTGGATAGTCTAAATAGTCCTGTCACCAGTAGGAGATATGGCACATAGATACTCTGAGTAGCCAACTGATTCACTCACTATATAGATAGTGGGTACTGGACAAGTGACTTTGTATTTAAACGGCCTAGATTCATGTCCTCCAAAACCAGAGGATAGCTAAAAGCTAAAAATGGAGATATGGCATCTGAGAAACTCATGCAAAGAGAAGATATTAATAAGATGTAGCCATAGCTGGGCTGGAGCAGGAGCTAATGTACACTGAGAAGGTAACAATATCCACCAGCATCACCAGGATGGAGTATAGGTCAGAGATGAAATCCAAGAATATTTAGGAACCAGGAGTTGGTATAATCCTTGTACTGCCAGTCACATGTGTTAGTTTTAACATAGGGCCCCCTGAAGCCCTGCATACCTGTTTGGCTAGAGTTGCTGGTTAGGAAGAAATGATGAGCCAGGTACCATACTTGGACAGAGGCTGCCTCTACATGGGTATACTGCCACACCACCTGTCTCTTTCTCTCTAAAGGTCCCTCCTGGATAGCCGTAGATCCCTCAGAGATGCCTATACAGCATCTCTTAGGTCAGCAGCAAGTGAGATAAATAGCAGCCAATTTTTCCAGGCAGAGGATCCCAGGTTAAAGTCATTTTCACTCCTTTGGGTCCTCTAGATCAGAGATCTCCAACCCCCAGGCTGCAGACTGGTGCTAGTCCATGGCCTATTAGGAACTGGGCTGCACAGCAGGAAGTAAGTGGCGGGGGAGCAAGCAAAGCTTCACCTGTATTTGTAGCCACTTCTGAGCACTAGCATTGCTGTCTCAGCTCCTCCTCAGATCATCAAACATTAGATTCTCATAGGAACACCTGTCCCTGGGGCCAAAAAGGTTGGAGACTGCCGCTCTAAATTCTTGTCCAGCATTGCTGCTCATATGGACATGAAGAGTTTGTAAGATGGAAAGCAGGACCAGCATTCAGGATGCTAAGGCCAACCTGGGTCTTAGGGGAAAACTATCTTACCATCCCTATCCAAGAGAAGCCACTTTGGCCCAAGGTGGGCTCTCTCAGGTCTCAGGAGGTAGCACCAGTATGAGGGTTGGCGGGAAGTGCTCTGGGCTGTGAACTGGAAGCAAATGGACTAAAGTCTCAAGCCCCAGTAAGAAGCCTCAGAAAGTAAAGAATAGCCTGAATCTATATCAGGGCAGCAGTTAGAAAAATCAGATCTGTAAGTCAGCCCCTCACTCCCACCCCTGAGATCAGGGAAGGAGATCTGAGAGGCCAGTTAGAGGGTTCACCTAAGAGGGTGTGGTTTTTATTGCCTACTCAAAGGTAGAAGCTGTTATGGGGCTAAGGGGGTCAGGTGGGCCTAAATTAGAACTTATTTTCCTCCTCGCATCTGCTCTTCCTGAGTTTCTCATCTGGGTGAATGATGCTTTCATGCACTTGATTAGTCTTAGACTCCTTGCTTCCAGCAGGCCTTACATACCTTATTATCTTTCAAATTCACCCTTTCTATTTTATACTCATTGCCACTGCTATAGTTTGGGCTCTAGTCTTTTTTCATGTAATGGAATCTTAATTGATCTCCATACTTCCTATCTTGCTCTTCTCCAAACCAGCCACACAGTGATCTCTCAGCACAGAAACATGATCATGTTCCTACTTGGAATTCTTCTCTGTGCCAGGATAAAATCTAAACGCATCGTGTTGCTTTTACAATTTGTACCCAGGAAGACACATATGCTTTAGTCCAAGTTTAGTTCTTATTCAAACATTTTCATTCCAAGTTGCCTGCTTTCGATATCTCATTGATCTAGAAGTGACGGCTTGGAATTATTCTTAATAATCTGTGGTCTTTATAGTGTTTAAGAGATGAGTTTGGACTTTTTGATTCTTTGTCTGACTTGGGCCTGTCCTCAATCAAGTGTAAATTATTAGAAAATATTCATTATTCTTATTTCTTATTTCTTTTTGCCTTTGGCCTATGATAGCCATGATGAGAAAAGGTATCCTGTAATTTCCAGTGACAGATCCTTAGATGCTAGCCTGTTTCTGGTGGGTGATCTTTATGTTCTGGAGCAGACTGGAAAGTTTTATTTACTCATGCATACCCAACAATCCAGATCTGCTTACCAGCTCTTGTGCTGTTGTCTTCACTTTGCTTACAAAAAGCTATTGGAAATTTGGCAAACAGTCTGGCAGTCTGGTGAATTGTTAGGACCGACTTCAGACTTGATTAGTGAATCACACACTTTGGCTTTATCTGTAGTAGGGTCACATTGATGACAAGTTGTGATCCTGAGATGTGATCTGAAAATTATTGGAGATAAACAGAAATATGCACAATGCTCTCCTAGCATCTTGCACTTCTGATTTGCAAAAGACTTAGGAGGCTTGAAGAACTAGAGACCAGCAAAAGTTTTGCTAGTGGATATATGTGCACAAACATAATATTTTGCTGACAGATAAAATGAATAATGAAAAGAACAATAATGATGACTTCCAAAAGTTACATGTCAAGTTGATGCCAGAAAGATAAGCACCACACTGCCAATATAACCAAGGAGGACAACACTCTTCTTTCTCTTCCTTCATCTTGATCCTTGTCAATTCTCACCTCTATATTTTGCTTTACTTACTTTCCTATCAAGCTATTTCCCTTATCAGTAGATCTGCTGCAAAAGACCAACTTTTAAAAAAAGAAAAAACAGATGTAAAAACTGTAATATAGCATTAATCTACAAGTAAATCTTATACAGGGAACTCCAAATTAAATAAATTTTTTGTTTGATTCAATTTTGATTCAAATCTTGTTAATCAGTTATTTCTTGAACTATGTGGACTTGGAATGCTTTTATAATCAAAATGTTCATTTTGTAGCAATAGCTTTGTTATAACTGAATTTGAATTTTTGTGTGAGACATTTTTTCTCTTTCATTCTGAGATGTCCTGATGTACTTCAAACATTCCTTTCTCCACTTAT